ATTATTTTTTTATTTTCTGTTCTTAGTTTTTTTTTTTACAGCCCTATCTTGTATCACATACTTATTTCACTCATTATATTCATATTCTGGCTTGCACATATTGTGAAATATTTCTTAAGCAAACCCGCTTTTTACTAAGCTTTACTCCATAAACATCGACCAATGATCTGGTCAATCTCGTGTTTATCTCTATTGAGCAATTTTCTCTTTCTATCAACTTATTACTCTTTATTATTTATTCTTCCAGTTTTGACAATATTATTTGACATTGCTTAGAATTATTCCCACTTTTATACTCATATCCGGGCTTGCAAACATTGTGAAACGTTTCTCTAGCAAATCCGTTCTGTCATTCTTTGCTCCATAAACACTGACCAGAAATTATGTCAAACATGTGTCTATCTCTTTTGAGCAATCAACAACATTCAGTTACTATCCGATCTGGGGAATATTTCATGTACACGCAGCCTTTTTCGGAAGGTGCCTCGTTGTGTACCTCTCGTTATTTACTGATCAATATCTACTATATTCTTACTGATCAACTCTCAAGAATCATACCTTCAAGGTATATTTTTGACTGGCCAGGCCAAAATATCTACATTTCAGTAATAAACTGAGACAGTCTTGTCATTTATTGAGCTTTCATCATCTAGCTCAACTCTACCAACATATATACTTATTATTTTTTTTTCTATTTTGCTCTATTTACGAGCTCAGAGAACAATTCTCTTGATAGGGCCTCCGACTAAGAGCGTAATCATCTATTACCATCCTGCTAGTGTGTTGAACAATTGTATATATATAGCACTACATATAACCAGAGTTTCTAACCATATAATCAGTTGACCTTCTATATATTTTTTTTAATTTCTAAACCAGAAGTGACCAATACAGATCAGTATATTCCCCAAAAGTGTTCATAAGTTTTAAACAAATTGCAACAAAATAGTATTTAGCGCCACTGAAGGCCTTGCCTTTATTAATCATTTATATCTAGAGTGGAACTTCTACAATCTCTGCCACAGATATATTACAGCAAGAGGCATTACCTCTGATTTTGAGACAAGGGATAACCTCGTATTTAATTATTAAACAATCCTTAGTGAAAGGAAATCAACATGATATTTATACATATAAGATCTGTTTCGGTATAATAATTGTCCAAAACACATCTGTCTTCAAAATAAACACAGCCCCAACTAAAACGAGTGTAGGAACTTTTAATTACATATAATATATAAATCTAAAGTAGCCAAAACAAAACAACCGTTTTGCTGGCACGACATAATATCAAAATAATAGTAGTTATAGTGTCGAAAATTCATTCTCGCTCCCGACATCATGGACATTTGTCCGTTTTCCTAACCACGAAATGCCCCTCTATTGTTAAAATTTCTATTGAAATTATTTTGATTTCTTCTATAATTATTTTCTCCTATGAATTGCTGACCATTTTGATTTTTGATATTAACTACTTCACTTGTCAAAGATTTAATACCTTGTTTAATTTCATTAATTTCTCATTTCAGACTATGATCTTGAACGGTTTCAGTATCGGCCGTACGAACGTTACGACCTTTCTGTCTATCAGCAACTCATAATGCTTCGAGTCTAACGGCAATATTCTCTGCCTCATTAATTGATTTTGGTCCAACCTTCCTTAACCTGAGTCGTACTTCTGTCTCAGGAATAGCATCAATAAAATAATCTAGAGCTAATGTGTCCCTAACCAATGGAGAGGTACTAGGATAAGCCCTGCGTGTTTCCTGCGACTAAATGAAGGTCAAGTTCAATTTTCACGATTTTAGCGTTTCTCGTTGTTGAGTTATCACCCTTTTTAATATCCATAAGTGGTACTTTTTTGTGATTGAGTTATTTTCCTTTGAACAGAAATTGTTAATTATATACATAAAGTTTGATTACACTTAGCCTTTATAGATAATTTTCACCTGTTATCAGTTTACTAAACATATGGTTAATTAATGTCTTATCTCACAATTATAATTGGAGTGACAGATTTATTTGAAAATTTTCTGTTTTCTAAGTGTTGATGATTAAAAGCTATATAGGAGTAAATATAGTTAGAAATTTACTGTTCATTATTAGACATTTTGAAGATAATTACAGATAAGTTTTATAGATTTTTAAAAGACATTGTATTGATGATAAATAAAATTTTGGATTTATTTGTTCTTTCCTTTGGTAAATTGTTCGAAGAATTTTGTGTTAAGTTTGTTGGTTATTCTTTAAAAACTAAAATTCTGAATGCTATATATATTTTTTTTTATAAGGTGAACTTTAAAAACTAAGCTTTTATTGTCTATTAATAAACATACTAGTATATTTTGATTTCTGTTTTCAAGTTGGTCCAAATCGGGGTCCAAAATTAAACTGTGTTTTTGATTTCATCATAAATTGAATATATATAGGGTTCTTTGAAATGCTGAATCTAAACCTGTATTTATTTTCATTATTAGTTAGATAATACCTCATCGAGGACCAAAGGGTCCTAAATTAAACTTTTGTTTAATCAACGATTGAATTCTTGGGTTCTTTGATATGCTGATTCTAACAATGTTTGAGTGTTAAATCATATCTAATTTTAGACAACTTAGTCATCACAGGTTGTTGTTCAGCTGAAAAAGAAAGAAGATTTGTTCTTAAGATATTGTCTGTATAGTCTGTAGCAGTCATGATTTTATATAAATGTTTCAAGTGTTTGATTTGTTTTTCAGTGACAACATATGGCTGTAAAATTTATTTTTGCCCAAGTTATTTGGTATGAATATTTCGAGGTCTGATTTAATTTATGTTCATCTAAAGCTGTTGTTTTGACCACGTTATTTTGATAATTATGTTCATGATCATGATTTATTTTTCAGTGACTTCCTATGAAGAAGAATATGATAAGAGCAGTATTTCACCACCTAAAAAATCACACAAAAACATAAAGAAAAGGTAAGGGGTCTTCCATAATAGGATGAATGTGTGGGGGAAGAAGGAGTTCGGATTCACTTTTTGAAAACCAATATGGCCTACAATATAGAATTTTCAAGAATTCTTTATGATTCTTAAAGATATCTTTTAGGAAAATACAACAACCTACCAATTATTTTTATGGGCTCCCTGCAGGCATTCCTTTCTGTTATTACCAAACAATTGTTTTCTATTTCCCCAAATTGGTCACCTGGTGCAAAAAGCATCAATTTTGATTATTTTTGTCCTATTTCTTGACCTGCAAGAATAAGGGATGCTGGTATATGTATCCTACTGTAGTCTGCATACATGTAGAGTGGATCCCAATGAACACATTAACTGCAAAAGTGCTCCGTTGAAGTGAAACTGATCTGGGTATGGCAGACTAAAGAAAGTCATTTCCATCAAAATCCAGAATTTTCCAATTTTTCCTGATATTTGGCTTCATCTTGACCAGCAACAGGAAGTAGTCATTCAGATACTAAACCTGATCAGTTATTGTATGCCTGAGAGTTTACACTATTTCAGGAAGTTTTAGGCCTCTGTACTGTAAGTGCCAGACAATGCAGAGAAGCCCACCCTTCTAGAAATACCAGTTTTATCTGATTTCAATTTTTGAAATTTGTATTTGGGCTCAAACTACACCTTAAACCTAAGAAACATGACAATAAATAGCCTTAGCTTGAGGGAACATGCATCAATTTTGAAATGCGTATCACACAGTTAATCTCTAAAAGAGCCATTGGAGCCAAAAAACGGTATTTTGGGTAGAGGCTGTAATATTGCGGCCCCCACAAGGAAAGAAAAATAATGAATTTGCCCTCTGCTGTTAAAGAAAGATGCACTTTATTGATAGGTCCAGATATCATTCAGCATCCTATTATAAAGGAGATATAAATTATTTATTAGTCCCCTACCGACGAAGTCGAAAGGGACTTTAGGTTTGCACTCCGTCCGTCTGTCTGTCCGTCCGTCTGTCCATCCGTCAGTCCGGCAAATCAGCTTTCCACACTTTTTTTCTTCGTTCTTGAAGATATTGATTTGATTTTTGGTATATAGTTTTATCATGACAAGTTATAGATCAAGTACGAATTTTGTTCCGGTCTGATGATTTAGTCCAGAGTTATCATGGTCCATATCTAATGTTAGAGTACTACATTTTGTATGTTAAACCATATTTCTGTACAAAGAGAGATAACTCATTTTTTTAAAGACATTCTTTGGTTAATTGTTTGAAGTGTTTTTTATTTTGTATAAACTAATTTTCTGAATGCTATATACATAAAAAAAAATTATGAAGTGAAATCTTTTAATTAGATAATAATCTATTTTTATTAAGGTATATATTTCATTACATTACATTGTGTATAGATAAAAGTTGTTGACATTTTATAGATAAGTTACAAATCTATATTAGTTTGTGACAAATGAAAGAAAAAATATTTGGAACTATTAATCATATTTGATTATAACTTGAAAATAAATATACATTGTATTACATCATATCTAATTTTAGAGAACTATTAATCACATCTAATGTTAGAGTGTTTTCCACACTTTTTTTCATCATGCTTGAAGATATTGATTGATAATTAGTATATAGTTTTATCATGACAAGTTACAGATCAAGTTCAAATTTTTGTTTCGGTCTGATAATTTTGTGCAGAATTATGGTCCTTGGACTTGAAAAATTCACTCATATAATCAGTTTTCCACACTGTTTTTAGTCATGCTTGAAGATATTGACTTGATATTTTCTTTTTGTTTACACCATGACAAGTTATAGAACAAGTTAGCATTTTGTTCCAGTATAATGAATTTTTACCCAGTAGGGGACTATGTATTGCCATGCAATACTCTCAGAATGCTTGTTTAACCTCAATGACTGTCATCTTTAAAGTATAAAAGGCACTTAAATTTACATAAAATTTATGTTTTATTGCTTCTACTGCAGATTTGATATTTCTGATATTTGATTCGTATACAGTGTAAAATTATTGACTTGATTTGCATTTTAATAACAGAAATCTGAGCCAGAAACTATCAAGACATATTCTCAGATAATGGAAGAGAAAAGGAAGAAACTTGAGAAACAAAGAGAAAAGAAGGCTAAAACTGAAGAAAAGTCTAAAAGAAAGAAAATTACCCCTATTGGTTTCAGTGATAAGGAAAATGGTATCCTTTTCTTATACACAACCCCTTCTCTCATAGTCTTAAGGTTGATCTGAATATCATTAATTCTAGTTAGTTTAAACAATATTTTTTCAGATAACTCATCGCATAACAATATAATACAATTGAAATACATATTTAGGATTCTGAAATAAGCAAATTTGCTTTTACAAATCTGTCTCCTAATTTTAGTTAGGTTAAAAAGATCCTTCTGTTGGTAAATTTTGTTTAAGGAATGACTGTTACATATTTTCTGACTATGAAGAAATAACATCAGAAATGTGGTGCATACTAAATAATGCACGTAGCGTGTTATTTTAAAGTGTGCACCACATTTTTGAAGTTATTTCTAATAGACAGAAAAAATATTACAGTCATTCCATATAATTAAAATTCTAAATTCCATTTTAAAGGAGTAAATCATGAAAAAATACTGATGACGTCACTGTCAAATGACAAAATTATGTCTATGAGATGATAGATACAAAACTTTCAGCCAATCAGAAGATGTACATGTGTTACATCCAATATTAAATTATTTGAAGATGGCAATAAAGCAAACTAATCCTTTCTTCAACTCTGTAGACTATGGGCACTTTAAAGTTTGTTCCACATATTTATTTATATATTGAGTCTTTTCAAAAATAGACATAACTGTCTTGTAGTTACTGTCAGTATGTCTATCTCTAAATTGCTGCACAGTGAAAAATTGATATATGTCAAAATTAAAGGTTTTAGGTCAATGGTTCCCATACAAATGCACAAGAAAATTTTGTCTAATAAAACATAAATGTTTTATTACATTAGTTGCAATGAAATACTGTGTTTTCTAAATAAAAAAAACCTGTTAACTACACATTACACATGTGAAAAAAATCCTTATAATTACACATGTGAAAGAAATCCTGTATTTACACATGTGAAAAAAATCCTGTAATTACACAAGTGAAAAAAAACTGATATTACACATGTAAATTAGAACCTGTAATGTCACTCTGATGTCATAAACCTATTGGTGTTACATCAACACAAAGTGTGGATTTTTTATAAATTGTTGTATATCAAATTTTGTGGATTTCATGGATACCCAGGAATCATGAATATAAATGTTCAACAAATTACAAATGTTATATAGGAATATATATGCAGACTATGGCAAAACCATGAAATCCAATATCCAGGAAAACTTGCAGTTTTCTTCAATCAACGAAAATTGGTACTAAAAAAATAAATGAATATACAGTACATTAAAAGGCAATGTAATAAAAAGAAACTTATTAAGGAAGTCAAATATAAACGCAACACTTAAATTATGCATCACTTTAAAATATTATTGTTTATTTAATTTCTCAGATTAGGTAAATACCAGTTATACCTCTTTGACAGGTGTCAGGAAAATTGTCTTCATAATTTTGTAAGAAAAAGGAGTGCGTTTGAAATAACAAATGGCCTCTGTGGAGAACATTTAAAAAATTTGGATATTTTATTTCGTCGTAAAGTTCTTTCAAAACTTTTGTTTACAGAAACCATTTTGAATGAAATAGCAGAACCAAAGAAATCTCCAATAAAAACAGAGGTACCAGATACAAAAAGTGGTTTGTTGGAGACGTTCAGCTTTACTCTCCAAGAAACCACAGATGATAGTAATCCACCTCAGTCTGACCAAGTTGATAGTTCTACAGAACATTTAGAACTATTATCAACTTCAGTTCCAGAAAATTCCAAAGAGGATACAGATGATCTTCTTGAAATGTAAGAATTTTTACACTCATTGCAAATTGTTATTTGAACATACAGTTTGTGGTGACTTTTTTAACCTTTTTCTTCAGCATTTATATGAGGGTCTGGATAGGGTCCACAGAATAGAGAATAATGGACAAAAAGTACAGATTAAAGGGCAAGACAAACAAAGAATAGAGAAAAATAGGCAAAAAAAGATACAAATTAGAGAATAATTGTGTGCTAAAATATAAAAAATAGAGAATAATGGACAAAATGAATAAAGAATATAGAAAAATGAACTAAAAATTAAAGAATAAAGAAATGAAGGACCTCCCATCCAGACCCTTTCATATCTGCAAGGTTTTAGGTAGTCATTGTAGATTCCATTGACTAAATCTTATAGTCATCTATAAAAGGTTTTGATATGACAAAATGTGAAACAAAAAAAAAACTGTCTGATTTATGACAAAACAATAAAGGAAAAAGAAATATAACTGACAGCAGACAACAACTACCAGTGAATAATATGCTCCAGACTTTTGATAGGCACATACAGAATGTGGCAGGTTTAATGTGTTTGTGAGCACAAAACCCTTGAAAAGAACTTGCATGATATATATGAGGTCCTTCATTAGAATTTAGCATTTTTACTAACGACTTTAAAAGATCAGCTAAACAGTAATAGTCTAGCAACTGTTTGAATGTAGAAATCTTTATGTTATTGTTATTGTTTTTATCAATTCAAATTTTACATTTATTTTAACGATGAACCATGATAACATTACAGGTCGCCTACCAAAAAGACAAGTGATGACTCATGGCTAGAGTTCAGTAATGAAGATTCAGATATGACTGGATGTGAACCTGCCGACGATGATGACCTTCTCAGAGAAATTGATGAGCTATTGGCGTGATTAAACAGATTTATTGACACAAAAATTATTTACGACTACCAAAGACTGTGATACTTTTAATTCATCAGTGCTATATCGTGTGAACAAAACAGTTGTAAGGTTTACAAAAGATGATTCACAATTAATTTTGATATTTTTAGTTGAAGATTACAGTAATGGAGAATTTGATTTATTACACAAATCATGTAGAAGTAATACTACTGTCATGAATTTTCGGATGAATTTAAGATTATAATTAAAATCTGATTGATTTTGTTAATATTATATAATCATTGCTGAGCAAAACAACGGTCAAACTTTAAAGTGCAATATGGTATACAACAGATCAATCGTTAACATTTTGATCTCAATACCACAAATTGTATAGAAACAAGATGGGTGTGTATAGAATTTGTTGATCTCTTAATATTAAAAGTTGTAACTCGTTATCTTTTTTTTCTTCTTTCCATCCTCAAGGTTATCAATGTTTAAATGACAAGACTTTGTTGTTCTGTAATTTACTACAGTAAATATCCTCTTATAGTGTGTTATCTGAAACCAAATTAGATTCTGTGTTTGAGACTTTAAGACTGATCCCAGAGCCGGAGGAGAATTTGATTATTTGAAAGTAGACTCCTTAATAGAAAAGGAAATTATGCTTTATAAGCAGTACAATATACTAAGGATATGAAATTCATTAACAGTCTTTTATAGCTGACTATGCGATATGGGGTTTACTCATTATTGAAGGGTGCATGGTGACCTATAGTTTTTAATTTCTGTGTCATTTGGTCTGGTATGGAAAGTTGTATGATTGGCAATCATCCACATCTTATTTTTATATTTTGTTTACAGTGGATTCATTAGTATTCATGGAAAACTAATTTTGTTAATTAGATTTCGATGTTTTTATTACAATACAATACAAATTTAAAGTATATATAGTATATATAAAAAGAAGTTTTGATATGATTGCCAATGAGACAACTCTTCACAAAAGACCAAATGACACAGAAATTTACAACTATAGGTCACCGTACGGCCTTCAACAATGAGCAAAGCCATTACCGCATAGTCAGCTATAAAAGGGCCCGAAATGACAAATGTAAAACAATTCAAATGAGAAAACTAACGGCCTAATTAATGTACAACAAAATGAATGAAAAACAAAAATCTAACACAGCAACAAACAACAACTGCTGAATTACAGTTGCCTGACTTGGGACGGGCACATACAGACAGAAGGTGGCGGGGTTAAACATGTTAGCGGGATCACAACCCTCCCCCTAACCTGGGACAGTGGTGTTACAGTACAACATAAGAACGAACTATAAAAATCTGTTGAAAAAGGTTTAACTCATCAGATGGATACAAATAAAAATACATCTAACAAAAACACAGAGTGGAAGTGGCCGGGTACTTGTATATTCCAACAACAAAAAGACACTGAAGTACAGATCTGAGCGTACTCGCAGTTACTGACAGCTATTTCAAAGCCAATAACAACTAATAAAAAAAATCATGCATCTAAAACTAAATTATCAATCAGTACACATCCAACTTCCAATGGATTTAGTGTGAGGACGTCATTAACAGTCGGAGAAAAACATCACCTTGTGCAATGCCAAGATACCGGTATCGACAGATTGTAGATCCATGAAAGAGCATATGGATATAACAATAATATTTTCTTTGCTTTTAATTTACTGATAACACAATCAATATTATTACCAATAAAAACAATATTCAAAGATCTAATTACAGTGTTGAATTCGTAACATTTTAGATTAATTTATTTAAAGGATTGATAAGTTTACCAGGACCGTTTCTTAATTTCCGGGCACAGTAAACAACATCTCCATAAAAAGGAGGATGTGCTATCCCGTTTGAAATAAGTTTTCTACAGGAACAACCAAACTTCAAAACCAAATCCTTATATCTATGGAAAAATTAAGTAAAGGTTTTAAGTAATTTGTGGTAATGAAAGCCCTGACTTAATAATTTACTTGTAATACATAGATTACCTTCATTAACATCTAAAACGTCACAACAGACACGGGTATAGGGAACGAGTTGTGAAATATAAACCCCGTAAGATGGTGCCAAAGGAACATCACCATCCAAAAAAGGAAAATTAACAATAGGGAACGAAAAATCGTCCCTTTTGTGGTAAATTTTAGTTGCGGAGTTTCCCGTGTAAAACTGAAATATCTAAATCTAAGAAAGGACAGCTGTTAGTTTACATTTGGTTTATTTAAAGTAATTTCCTTTGGATAAATTTCGGCAGTATTTTTAGAAAATTCGTGACTATTTAACGAAAAAATATCAAAATAACGGTAAGTGTTGTTGAATTTATCAATGAAATGCAATTTAGACGGGTCTTTACTGAGTTTGGTCATAAACTGTTATTCATAACAGTACAAAAACAAGTCTGCTATTAAAGGGGAGCAATTAGTGCCCATAGGAATCCCTACAACCTATCGATAAACTTTGTTGGCGAAACGTACATAAATATTATCAAGGAGAAAATTAACAGCTTCAATCATAGTAAGTATATTTAGCATATTTACCTTTCTCATTTTGAGAAGAAGGCTTTAAATGAGTTGCAGCAAATATATTTTTAATCAGATTTACTAAACGACCATTTTATTAAATAGGAAAACTTTCGTTTGAGAAGATTGTGTGGAAATGTAGTGTGAAGAGTTGAAAAGTCAAAACTGTCAACAGAATCAAAAAGACCATCTAAAGCACGTAATTTATCTTAAAACATCCAAAGAATTTTTTACACTCCAAAAATAGTAAATTCCACTATTTTCATATATTTTATTACAAAAGTTTATGACAAGTTCTTTGATAGTATTTAAGGAACTAGTTAAAAGCACTGAAAGATTAGTTGTAAAACACTTACTAGAGGCCGAGATGAAACGATATTTTACTGGTTTTTTGTGTAGTTTACGTAACCAATAGGTTTGTTTGCTCGTTTGGAAATTTTTCAAAACCACATAATGAAGTATCCAAGGAATAACAACTTTTCATCAATCTATTTTGTTAGTGCCAATGAAAATTAACGAATTCAAACTATTTATTCTGCTAAAATCCAGAAGTCTTCTGCCAAAAAATCTGATTTATTGCTACCAGCTGAAAATTATGACTGGCACAGGTTTGAATACAAAACACGAGTTAAAACTATTGTTTAGCATAATAAGACAAATTAATTATATTTTTGCAAATTATCAATTGACTCTTAGTTTTTTCTCATCACTTTGCATCCATTGTTGAGTTCTGTTCATCATTATTTATAAAGTATTACTTAGGTGGAAAAACCTTCTAGCTTTAAGCTATATAGGCATAAAACTAGTTTTGCACATTTTTGGATACCTTAATTAGTTCCCAGCTTTCTTTGATTCAATCCAAGGTTATGAAAATGCGTTTTAGTGTAATGTATTTGTGATTTGAAAAAAAATATATTGTTATACAATCATGTTGCTATATAAACGCTCCGAGGGGACATGTCACCCACATTTGTATAAAGAAAGAGGCTTATTATTGTAAAAGAAGAAAAAAAATCTGCGCTTTAATCTGGATGGTCACTTTTAAATTATTGAAAACATGTAAGTAAATCTAAAAATGTATACACACTGTTAAGCAACGAAACAAATTTGTTAAGGTGGTGCCAAACACCTTAACTAAAATTAATTTGGCTCGTTTAATTTTCATAAAATTTTGACAAAATATTTACTTTGACCCTTTGACAATAATATAAAAAATTCAATGAATTTGAACCACACACTTGATCGGAAAAAATTCATAAGGATATATAGCGTTTTGACAAGCACAAACTTTGATCATTGAGAAGTTTAATATTTCCTAAACAATAGAATATGCTTAAAACGTTCAGCTGATTTTTACAGAGTTATCTCCCTGTAGTGTTATGTACCACCTTAAACAGTACATTTCATTACATATATTAAACTAATTATTGGAAAGATTGGATTCAATACTTTTCTAATAAACTTTCCCAAGCTACCACATCTATGAACTCTTAAATATAGTTCTCAATTTTATACGACTGCACAATTTTTGCGTTCGTATAATGTTATGACGTTGTCATTGTTGTCGTACATGTAGTTTCCAGATAATAACTTTAGTATACATTTTAAGTGTATGGATCTCTATGAAATTGTAGTACAAGGTTCCATACCACAAAAGGAAGGTTGAGATCGATTTTGGGGGTTATTGTCCCAGATGTTTAGAAGTTATGGGCCAAAATAAGAATTTTCTTTTTTTAGAATAAAACTCGTGTATCAGTGTATGGGTCTCTATGAAATTGTGCCACAAGGTTTTATACCTTAAAAGGAAGTTTGGGATTGCTTTCGGTACATGGCCCAAACCGTTGAGGAATAAGAGGGCAAAAAACTAGGATTTTCTGGTTTCCAGACAATAACTTGAGTATAAGTCTATGGACCCGATGAAATTGTACCACAAGGTTCCATACAAGGAAAGGAAAGTTGAGATAGATTTTGGGGGTTATGGCATAATATTTTGGAAAAAGGTGTCAAAACAATACTTTTTTAATACTTTCTATAAATTGTTTATTTATTGACCAATTGCAATTGGGTTTAATTCAAAGTCTTGAATTCTTGGGGTTCTCTTAATATGCCAAATCTAACCATGTATCTAGATTTTTGATTTTGGGCCCCATTTTTGAATTGGTCAACATTTAGGTCAGAAATGTTCAAAATTAAACTTTGTTTGATATAAAAAAAAAATGAACTTTTGTTGTTCTTTGATATGCTGAATCTTTACATGTAATTATATTTGGATTATGGGCCCCATTATTAAATTGGTCCACATTTAGGTCCAACATGTCCAAAATTAAACTTTGTTTGATTTCAACAAAAATTGAATTTTTGGGATTCTTTGACATGCTGAATCTAAACTTGTATTTCAATTTTGGATTAAGGGCCCCAGTATTAAATTGGTCCACATTGAGACTCAAAGGGTCCATAATTTAATTTGTT